GAATAAACAAAATACGGCTTCTGACTAAACAAAATAAAACACTGAGAAAAATGGCTAAATTAAGCTTGGTTAGCATCCATCTGTCCATTCTTTACTACTTCTCCAGGCCTGGGTTTCACTGGCAGCAGTCTAAGCAGAGATGCCCAGTACTACTACACCCTGTCCACTTCCTCTAACTTTTCAAGGGGAGCACTGAGGTGTTTCCAAAGCCAGCCGAGAGATAATCCAGCATCTCTTGGGTCTACCCTGGGGTGTTCTCCCAGAAGGATATGACTGGAAAACCCCACTTAGAGGCACCTGGGAGGCAGCCTGGTCAGATGTCCAAACCACCTCAACTAGCTCCTTTTCAGCCTGTCTCTAAGGGAGGGCTCACCCCATACTGTACCTATCGGACCCCCAGCTGGCATAAGTGGAACTAATAAATCATTACAAAAGAATCTGGTTAAAATAATCTTTTAAAAAGTTTTCAGAATAATTGTATCAATGTAACTGCTTGAAAATAACACCTTAAAATAACCCAAAACAAATCTGTTCTATTGCGAGGTGTCAATGCTATTACTAAACTCTAAACTATTAGAAATTCACCATTTAGCCACCAGTAAAAGGATCCTTTATTCTGATAACATGGGCACTTCAGTTTATTTTTAGTGAACCTTCTTTGTTCAAAGGACCAAACCTTTGAGACTTTTCCTTCACTAATAAAGAACATGTACCACCGTTATAGGGGAAAAAAACAAAACCTTATTTTTAAAATGATTTACGTCCATCACACATTTTATAATAAATTTACTTTGAGCCTTCAGTGCTATAGGCTGAAGAGGAAAGAAAGAATTCATAGGTGGACCACCTCATTGCTGGAAATAACAAAACTACAGATCATATTTCTATGAGACTCCAGCCACTGTCAAAAAATGTCTGCAAGACAAACAAAGATAATTCACATGGAATTCAGTGCTGCTGAAATGCAACAAATAAGAAAAAATATTTTAATTGACAAACAATTGAAATTTGGCCTTGTTCAATAATACCTTTATTCACTGCTTTTTAATGCTATCAAAACACTACAGCAGAAAAACACAGGACCTGTGCAGTTAAAATCCATACTCATTTGTCACAGGTCATAGTGTCATTGGAATATTGGACAGTGCAATCACACACTGTATTTTTTCCTAAACGTCATGTAGGAGAGTTACAAATACATAAAAAAATTTAAATAAAGGATGTGAAACGGGACAACGTGGAATCAGACCCCCACATCCACCTTCAAGAACAACCTTAAATCTGAACTCTGAACGTCTAAAGCTTTGTGATATATTTGGGACAGCACTGACAAAATCTGTCCTCAGAGAAAAACAGAAACACCTGCCAAAGTTCTCAAAGTACCATTGTAATGGCTATGGCAGGTGTTCCCAAGTTCAAAAACACAAATAATACAATTTTACATCAGCTTTATATTTTTAGGGTATTAAAAGTGAATATACTATCCTAAAAACAAATGGAAGTTTGTGTTTTAAGGAGAGTTTATAGACCAAGAACATAATATATGTATACACAGGCTATTTTATGGGAGATATAACCTCCTCTGGATGCAACACAGGCAGCTATCCATCTCCAAATGGACCAGATAAGAGTCAGGAAATTGTTGCTGAGGAATTGCTCTCTATTCCTGCATGAATGTGGCCTGGAGCTGTGAACTGGTTACTGGCTCTGATGAACACAATGACCCAGTGTGCCCCAAGCAAGTTCAATAGGAGGCAAGCTGGCAAATGAAGTGTCTGGGTTTGCTTCTGTTCCAGAAAGGCCTGTTCTACTCTGACAGTGTCAGGCCGTATGTCAAGCAGACACTGTCCTGCTGAAAAAGCCGCAGGGCGCTGCTGCAGGAGTAATACAAGTTCAGGTTAGAGCACCTCAACTCGGTACCTCAGTCTGGTCAGAATTTCACCAAGAACAATACGATCAGATGCTCTCATGGACACGCAAAGCTGCAGCAACAGGATGCAGAATGCCAAAAGCCTGGCCCCAGTCAACGTCAGTCAGTCGTGGCATGGTGCCACTGATAACAATGCTGTGCATACACTGTTTTATTGTGCCCTGATTCCACTGGCAAGAGAATACAGCAAACTGAACCAGTTCTCGGTTCTACAAGTGAGTTCTTTTGTGTTAAACAAATTAACAAATCACCAATCTCGCCACTGACTAAAACCAAACAACTGGAACTAAAAACTACTTCACAATATAAAACTTGCATTTCTTTTTTTGAGTACCATATTAAGTTTTATCACAGTGGTTCTCAAATGGCGAGCTGAGGCACACTGGGATGCCTTGAGATTTTGCATAAACCTCACACTGCAGATGTACCAAAAGTAATGAATGAGATTTAAATTCACTATTTTAGTGCTAAAGGATCTATTTCAAAGTGAGGAGATAAAACGGATCACTTTCCTGTGTAGAAAAAATTAACACCTATAGATTGTAGGTGAAATTTAGGCCCCAGTGCTGCAAACATGCCCTGAAAAGTGCCTAATAAAAGAACTGATTATTTTTCCGATCGCATGTAGGCTATTTTTGGCATATATGAATATACTTACATTTCATACTGAAAATTCTTTCCTGTATTTCCTTACTCACACTTCTCAAATTCTTCCCAAAGGTCCAGTTGAATGTTACTCAAAAGCTTTCCAATTTTTGCCCTCTTTTTTTTGCCGCTTGGTAAGGCATCATTGTTCTGCCCTACCTTAAGTATCATGTCCCTCAGTGCTTGGACATCCCGTAGACGCCATTCTGGCTTCTCTTGGAGCTCCTCACGTGCCTTGGCCACCAGTTCAGGGGTCAGGGTACAGGAATAGATGGGTGGTGGAGGACTGGGGAACCAGCTGTGCACTGCAGCTGCTGACGAGTCCACTGTAGGACCACCGAGATCGATGGACTCATGCTGATCGGCCATGGAATGACTGGGTGAAGCTGTTGGGAAATAAGCACGGGTGAGGAGAATTAACTTTTAAATATCATAGCTTTACTTCAAATAAGAACAGCGATACCCCACGGCCTGACACCTTCATTATCAATAATTAAACGTCATTATCATATTTTGTACCAGTAAGCTGCCTCTGCACAGTAAATGTACAGCAGCACAAAATAAAAACTGTTAAGTGCCTGAACATTACAGTAAGTGTCAGGTACACTCACAAACTGCGCAGTTTTAGTAAGTAGCTCAATTTCAGCTAAGTTTAGCAATAGATGTGGGAACACGATGTTCCCAGATACACAAGAGCGGGATGCTCTCCAGTAACTATCCAAGACCGCAAACACTGCATGCATTCACTCAGTAATGAGTCACAGCGCCAGAGATTCTCAGCTAATACAGCCTGAGCCTAAACAGAGCATATGTCCGGATAATGACTGAATACTGACCAGAAAATGGGTCTAACGGTAGCCTTCAATGGCAGACATAGAGTGCTAAAAGGCTGCTGGTAAGTGATATATAAATTCAGAAAACATCCGCAAAGATCAAAGCTACAAAAACCACTGTCAAAAAAATCACAACGGACCTGTCAAGAAAATCCCTCTTCCGGGTACAGAGCCGGCGTTAGCTCATTGGTGCTTTTGTAACACGTGATGCACTGCGCCGATGAATCGTGCGTCTTTTGTTTTGATGCCGATGCTGCGTTCAAGTTTAATCGGAAATTTGGCAAACCTATATGTCAAAAAATTAATAGCGTGACTGTTATGTGAGCCTGTTGTGTTTCAAATTCAAATGCGATCTTGAAATATCCAGCTCTTTTTCTTTTAACAAATTACAAACTAATCCGTTTCAAGATTTACTAACATAAACACGCACCTGGGTACCTGAACCTCACATCTCTAAATCTAACAGTAACAGAAACGCACACTTTTCAAACACTGTTGTTTGATTCAAGCACCAGGCAGGTAATTTTATAGCTCTGGGGTTTTATAGCTGTAGGCTAACGTAATGATCTCATACTTGTACGCAGGTTATACCATCCTTGTATTGCATTTCAAAGCAGTAGATGGCAGAATTTACCTTCATGTTTCCGCGGCTGCTTCCTTGCCACTGTAGGCTTCATGTCGTCTCGGAGGCTATGTAGGTAGACAATTTTTTTTTAATACAAATTTTACATTTGGGATTCGTTTCACTACAGGATTGATCGTACAACAAGGGGTTGGTGTTTTGTTCTTTAAAAAATGCAAGCAATTGACTAAATGTCTAATTAAAGGGGACGAAAAAGAAAGAAAATATGGATATGAGCTTTAGGCTAATGTCCAGTACTTGTGTCAAACCAATTTAACGATGATGTATTGTGATGTACATCCAGGATATGTTAGGTATTGTGCTAAAGAGAGAACCAAGAACAAGACAGGGGGGTCCATGTAGGTCGAGAATAACTGATTAAAAATAAATATGTTGTAGGAAAGTGGTGTATAAAAGATGATTTTCATGGTGACAAGGCAAGAGAAATGGTTTGTGGACACCACATGTAAAACCATTTCATTTGTGAATGTTGGCTTTTTGTTGCCTGTCCAGTGCACTTGTCATCACTTTCATTTGCACAAATCCAAGTAAAATAGTTTACACAATAGTTAGGCAACAGTTAACAACAGTTCAGCCTTCCTAACCAGACAAACGCCTGCAGTTTAAGTGTAACTAAAACTTAAAATTAAAGGGTCTTGAGAACAAAGTACAATATATGCATTGTGATAGAGTGGATGTGGAAAGCATCAAAACATTAAACATAAAACAGCAAACATTAGACTTCAGTAAAGCGCAAGCACCTTAAAGCTGCACTTAAGATGTTGCAGATATGTGACTGCTAACCATGTGACATTAGCTTTTCTTTCATTTTGGACACTTTGGAATGGTGACAGTATAGAGTCAATTGAATGATACCCCAGTCAGACAAGCTTAGAGACCAGCCGGTGACCATCTGGCAATCAAATCAGTGTTCCCCAACCAGTTGCAAGAGGTCACCAGCAGTTGCTGGGAAAATATTTGCTAAAGCCCCTAAAGGCCTAGAGACCAATGAGTGACTCTCATATTTCCCCAGCATCACACCTGTTGCTAGGGAAAAATGTGTATTCCCTAGCTGGTTGGAAAAACCTCTTTCTGATTGCTTTGCTTGCTAGCATATTGCTGTGGTCCCCCATAGTTTTCATGGGAGTGACAGAGTTGTCACTCTGTCAGCTCTTAGAGCTGTGGTGAAACTGTGGCAAGTGCAGTATAAACTGGAAACCAGGACCATTCACCTTCAGAGTTAAAAGCTGCACCTTTTAAAACATGTTGACTACATCGCTGATGAACAACTTTTAATTGGAAGGCAAAAGTCTCAATTTCTAGTTTGCATCACACCCTTTTCACAAGTTGTACTACAATTTTTTGCATAGTTAGCAAAAATTACAGGCAGCCATGGGAATCTGCTTGCAACCAAAGCAATCAATATGTTTTTGTTGCAGGATCTTGTTTGCAACAGATTTCACCCAGCAAGAGCCAACAATCTCCAGAAAGTACAGTTTTGTTTCCTAGAAATCTCAATAGTTATGTCTCACCAATGGTCCTGTTGATGCTCTCATTATGGGCAGTAATATTAAAAGTAATCCTCCTCTAGTTACTTCTATTTTTGTACTTGTTTTGAATGTAATGCTTTGTTTCCTTTGCAAAAAGTAAAATGAGCTTAACAATAGCACACACAGCATTCATTGTTTTCTAGATGCAGTGCACAAATATATCTGCATCTCTCTATCTGGAGTCAGCGCTATCTGTAATGATTTTATGGCAGCTTATCAGCCTGAAGTTGCAGTAGTCTATCAGGGACCAAAAAGCACTGCCACGTTGGACCTAATTTTTTTTTTCCACCATTTACCTTTGAAAGAATGTGTAATGCAAATGCAGTGAATTCATTGGTGGCCACTTCTCTTGTGACTGTAGTATAAATACGTAGCAGAAAAAGCAATGTAAAAATAAACCGTAAGATTTATTAACTCAACTTCACATTGTAAGGCAAAACATTACCTGGTTTTGTAAGGCAGTACAGGTTAAAAGGCACAATTTATTCCATCAGTTAAACCATGACAAAGTACTAAACAAAACAAAACAATCAAAAAAAACAAACAAACAACATACAATATACTTTTAAAACCGAGCACAACATATTATTGGGAAACTTCTTTAGCATGTCTGCCTGTGACTTTTTAAAAGTCTCTGTGTATACAGCCTGCCAAACTTGGTTATACTGGAGTAAATTTTAAAACTTGAAATTTCACTCCTGTAAATATGCATATCCCAGTGTATAAAACAAACCCCATATATTTTAGTTTTGCCACAAAATATTTGAGAGCAACTCGAAGGAAAAGCTGAACTCTTTAGAGGAATTTTCTTTAGCTTTTTTTCTGAGTTCATTTTATTGTTAAGAAACATAAAATAAAAAAATAAAAAGTTAAACACTAAATATATGACAGTGTAAGGCCTGTTGTAACATTCATGAAATACTGACATGATTACTTTGCCATTTCTAACATAAGCCTTACTGCACACACTGAGGACATGCATAGGACACAATGGAATTGAAGTTACCCAATAATGAGCTATAATATATACAGCAGTGTACTTCTAAGTGTCAGTCTTACAGAAAGGCAGTAAGCCTAGAAGATCACAATGCTTATGGTTTTATCTGGCCTTCACTGAACCATGAAGCTCAGCTGCAGCTGCATACATGTACAAAGTGATGCCTGAAAACTCAGGCTATCAATCTGTAAAGACCACACCTGCAGATTTTTATTATAGATATATATACAGTATTCAGCTACTTTAGGGTTCCAGTCAAGTTAACAGCTTCAATGCTGATTGTGTATAAACATACATGTAAAGACCCTGGTTTAATTAGAAAAAAAACTGAAGGAATAAAGATTTAAGGGGTTGTTAAATGGCCTCCTGTTTTGTAATAGTTGGTTGAGGGATGGAGGTTGGCTGCTTGGGAACAGTGGCTATGACCCCCTGAACCATTTTATAATGTTCTGAGCTGGAGGCAGCGGGTGGAGATGGAATTGGGGTTTCAGGAGTGGCTGAAAAGTAGAACAGAGAGAGAGCAGTTACTAATGTGGAGAAACTACAGCACAAGCAGGTGAATATTTATTATCTTACAGTGTGACGCGGGGGTAACACAAGATTCCAATAAGGAATAAGCACTTTTGTGAAATTTGTCAGAGCATTAAATATGCTCAGAAAGAATAACAGAAGTTTTCTTTTACAAAATAAGCCAGATTAGTTTCTGTGAACAATTTAGGGGATTATTTTGCCAAGCCTATTTGGTCTTCCAGCTACCTGACTTGGCTGCACATGGAGCTGCGTGAGGAAAATTTGATGGGCTGTCTTCATTAAAATACAACTGATTAATGATTGTGATCACCTTCATTAGACTTGAAGTTTTTACCATATGTAGCAATAAAAAACCCTGACAGTTTTAAGCTAATTACAGACACCAAATCTTAAATGTAGCAATGCATTAATGTATTTTGTGCTTACAGATTTGACCATTATGGATTGGCGTTGGCATATTGCTGGTCACTATAACATTGGTGCTGAGGTGCTCCTGAACCAGGTGAGGATGCAGAGAGTGAGGTGCATGTGGTGCTTCATTAGCAGAACCTGGAAGAAAAACCCCAACAATTGTCAGTTAATCATAATTTATTACTGAATAGTGGTTTGATGCAGTTCTGTCCACTTAATGCAATGCCTGCTGTTTCAGAATTCATGCTATAGTAAATTTTGCTAAACCTATCTGTACTGACAACCATTTCTCACCTCCAAGAAGCATTTCTTGAAGCAGATTGTCAATCTTGGCCATGCCGAAGAGTTTCACAAACTGGATCTGTTCAATCATTTGCCAAGTGATGCTCTGTAGTGTCGGCAGGAGCAGGAGAAGCTCTCCAAAACGGCCTCGAGAGTCATATTGCCTGTCGTTGATGTAGTCCTCCAGGCTCACCTGGACCTGGTATCGCATCCGCTTGATCTTTCCAGGGTCACTCAGACCTTTAGCGTCTATGGGCAAATGTTAGCAAAGAGAAATGTTTTGATGACCAACATCTGTATATAATGTGGTCTATCTGAGTTTTTCAAGTTTTCACTCAAGTTAATGGCTTGGAAAGAAGCTCAAGAATCTGAAATGTTTGTCAGCACTAATACCTGGGTCAAAGAAAACTATGGCTTTTAAGCAGGCATATTCATTGTCATCTATCTGAAGCTCTTGGAAAGGAAGCACCAGCTCATCCAGGATTCTCACTGCTACTCTGCCCACCTCCAACTCTGGGCAGTTTCTGGGAATGATGTGGTCATTTCCTGCAGGAGAAACACATTGAAAATGCACCATTGGAATAGGGAAAGAGCATGATTATATGCAATATGAGTGCAGTATCACACTGCCTTGTGTGTCAGTTTTACCTAATAAGAGGATGTCTTTGTAAAGCATGGACCTCTTTGCAGCACCGAGAAGGAGATGTTCTCCTGCATGAGCTCGAAGCAATGCCACCTGCAATGAAAGTGAATTAAAAGACAGTTTGCTATGAAATAATAACTCCTTTATGTGATACGTGTTTATATTATAAAGTTCTGTCTGGGTTTTTTTAAACTCCCCTTGCATGAATCTCACTGGTTGAACTAAAATTGGCAAAGAAGGCCATCTCACTGCATCAGCAAATCAGTTACTAAGGCTCGGTGATCACACTGTTAATGATTCTGCAGTTTGTTTTTTTTTCAAGAAGCAGTGTGACATTAAAACCAGCTCATCATGTTCCAACTGAGGATTAAAACACATTAACCATTCTGGTTGAAAATTTTAAGAGAGAGTGATGAAAAACCCCGTCATCCTTAGAGACTGGAAAACTATTTTCTCCTCTTTTCTTTTTTTTTACTGCAGTGTTATTTGATTAAGGAAGAACATAGTCAGTGACAGTCCCACAGCCACGTGTCCCTCAACCCTCGTTATGGTTTTGAGTATACTGGTTGATGAATGACTAGAGTGTCTATATCACTGTGTGCACTCTGTCTGTGTATGGGTCTCACCTGGTCATCCAAGGGCAGGTCACAGAAGGCTGGGATGTACTTGGCCCACTCCACTAAGACCAACAGCTGCTGTTTCATGGACTCACACACATCTGTGATGGTGGCGATCTTTTTAGTCCGTATGTCACCATTGAGTATAGGAGCAGGGGATGTGATCTACACAGGAAAATGCATTTATGAAGTCATTTGAGGTCTTGTTACAGTTACAGTAGATATGAGCCCCAAACATGATGTACGGCCACCTTACCTGTCTTGACAGTACGTCTGCCTGGATGAGTGCGTTGATGGATGGTAAACTGCTGTCTTCATAGCTGGATCTCCTGGTGCTGATTCTGTCTCGTTCGTTCTGTACAGCTAAAAAAAAGAACATTCACAGATTTATAATGTGGCAGCAAGATGTAGGTTGCATTTGCAAAGCAAAAGATAAAAGTGGAACTTTCATGCAGTTATATTTTTGTAAATGCAAGAAAAGTGTTGAATTTTCTCATTTCCTTTGTTGCACAAACACGGAACACAGAGTGATTTGAAAGAAAAATATGTCTTCCAAGGTTGTCATGTTTATCAGTATATGGCTATTATTGCTTGGAAATGTTTGCTCAGCATAAGCTGGTCAGAGACTTAAGCACTCCGTGGAGTGAACATTAACAAAGTAGTCCCCTCCTGGGTGTTGCAACACATTTAGACAAGTCATATCAATTTAGTGGAGACAGCTCAAGCTCTGGTAGTGATTTGCTGATTAAATTCTCTTTTGTTTTGGGAGGCAATAGATTCTATTGTTTTAACACTAAAAAATTCACATAGATTGACTTTTTTGACTGGTTTAGTGAAGAGATAAAAGTCATCTACCTTCTTTCTTCATGCCAGCTCTGAAGCACTTCTTCAGTCGGCAATACCTGCATTGATTTCTCTTGTCTTTGTCCACGATGCATTGTCTGTTAAACCTGTAAAAGTGAGTGGATTAAGTTTGTTTGTGCTATCACGGATTTAAAAAGGAAACTTAATGAAGGAATCAATACAAAGTGAAGCAATTGGATACAAATTGAAATAGATGAAGTAAAAATTCCAGATGCTTTCTTTTTCAAGTAGCTTAAGCATGAAGAATATATACATATATATGTAATGATTGCATCCATCAACATTTAATCACAAGACTGTAATCAGAAGATTGCAATCTTTGCTTGTCTACACAGTGGCACATAACTGAGAATTAATTGCATTGGCTAGATGTCCATTGCTTTTTCATTGTCACACAAACAGTAGCAGTATTTTTTAGTTGAAGAGCTTCACTCACCTGCATGAATACATGTGGTTTTTCCGGACGCTGCGTCTGAAGAAGCCCTTGCAGCCATCACAGCTGGAGGCACCGTAGTGTTTACCTGTAGCTCTGTCTCCACATATGGCACACAAACTGCCTGCAGCCAGGTGGCTCGCGGCGTTCATGTTAGTGCTTTCAGCTGGTGAGGAGTCTGACATGAGAGAGAGAGAAAGGAAAAAAAAGCTCATCAGGCCAACAGGCTTTTAGGTGATTAGCTTTAAATCACCGGAACAAGATGACCTGAAACTCGAAGAAGCGTCTTTTTATTTTTTTTTAATATGACTTTATTTCTAATCATATGCCAGACAGCAAACTTGAACTGCCAGGTTGGTTTAATTCTAGGCGTGAAAGACCGAAGTGAAGACACTCATCAGCTCCATTGACAGCTGATCAAAAGCAGCCCTCCAGAGAACTGCAGGGATCTGTTAGCAGTCTGAGTAGCTCAGATAGCGTCAACAGAGCTCAATTGATGTAGGTTTGATTACCTATGAAAGGCAATCGATGGAGACAGTTTTTGTGTAAGCCACTCTCACAGTCACCAGAACAAAGCTGATTATCATAGAGTTTGCCATGACACATGCTAAAGAAATGTACAATATATAAAAGTGGTAGGCTGGTTCTTGGAGTGTCACTTTTACATATTTGTTCAATGACAGAATATAATTGTGTAAATTATTAAAAAAAAAAGTTTTGTGCTTAGATAGGTCCCCATTAGGCTTTCTTTTTTTTGCTTCTTTGGAAATTTTAGAATCAGGATCAGAGCCAGATGTCATGGGAGACTGCATATACAAATAGGTTGGTGTCACTGTAAGCGCATATCCAAAAACGACATCCATTCTCCTCAGTTTAGACTCTGTGGGAACAGACCGTTTGTAACAAGAGAAGGGTGATCATGATACTAAAGCTACTGCTTCATCACTGAATGAAGATCAGTCCCCTGTAATCAGTCTGACACCACATCCCTGTACAAGCTGGAACAGGTTAAAATTGGTTGGGCCAAATGACCCAAGTGCACTGAGAATACATCAGTCTCGTAAAACAAAATCTCTTAATGTTTTATCACACCCAAGGTGATAAAAGAAGACCACTGAACAGGATCATCTCTCTACGAGCAGGAGCAGATGGACAAATGACCCCTTTTATCACTTCACACCAGAACTCGCGCTCTCCTCTCCCGACCAAAGTTTTAAATCAGTAAAAGTTTCAAAGTTCAAAGGCAGCGCTGCTTATATGACACTCACCTGCACCCAAGGGGAGCACTTGCATGTTTTCGAACTCTAGCGTGGTATAGGCTGGGTCCAGAGCTTCGCTGTAGTCTGCCATGTCCATGTCTGCTAGTTCTTTAGGCCAACAAATTCTCAACTACTTGACAGTGGGACAGAAAGACTTGTCCAAGAAAGTAGAGTGCCCCCCTCCTTCTCCACCTTCCTTTCTCACACCCCCACACACCTCAGCAAACCCCCCTCCTTCTTTCTGGGTCTAGCTCCGCCCAGTGACAGGACAGCTCCTTGGCCCAGTTGAGTGGTATATGGACCTACTGGTGTTAGAGAGGTGAACAGTGACTGACAGCAGAGCTGGTGTCCTTCTCTTCCTTCCCTCATACCACTAACCAGAGAAGAGGTGGAGTGTCAGTCCGGTTGATGGTTAACCAGAGTGTTCACTGGTGAATCACAGGGTTGTTTTTTTTAAGAGATAGCACAGCTTTGATATCTGCCACCGCTGCATGTCAGTAATGGATAAACATTTCCTCAACCTGAGCTATGTCAGTTCACTCCTACTACATCATTTGACACCATTTTGAACTTTTCATTTTATAGCTGACACTTTCCTCGCATGCCCATATCACATGCACACCAATTAAAGCTTGGATATTGGTACAAACGAAAGTGCCTGCAAAAAGACCTGGAATTAGGCGGAAAGTAACTAATTCCAATTTTTATGAAATTTTACAAATTTTGAAAGCACTTCTGTTTGATGCTACTTTACATTTCTGCTCCACTGTGGAAAAACATTACAACTTTTTTCTTGCCTTTTAGCTCAGCAGCCCCCCTTGTCTCCCCTCTGCAGGTCAGCCAAAACACTCAGAGGCTGCCTTTTGTTGCTTAAATATTCAGAAAGCTTGTATGACTCCAGGTCCAAAGCTTCCAACCGATCCTCACAGATGCTCCTCTGCACAGATAGAATAAAAAATATCGAAACATTCCTCTGGTTTTGTTTTTGATATTTAATATTAACTGAGGCTTATTCAGGAATCACTCCATGACAACAGACATAGTTTGCACATCAATATATTACGGAAGTTATTAATTATTATTTTAAACAGAGGATAAATCATTATATCGCCTAACTGTTTATAAAGCAGTTTAACTTTAGAGCCAGCTTGATTGCCAGCTTGATTACCTTGACCTTGAATAATTGCACTGTACTTTAATGAGATAAAAAGTAGAGGAAAAATACTTTTACCACCACAAGATAACCACAATCAAATAAAATTAACCACTATATTCAAACATACTTCCATGTGTATTACATTGCTCGGAAATCTGAGTTAATTCTGCCATAATTAGCGGGGAAAAGCACAAATGATGCCTTTATGTAAAAGCCATCATTGTTTGCTATAATGCAAGGTTCATGTGAGGCTTTTCCAAAAGCTCCAAGCTTGTTGTAAAGGCGGCTGCTCCTCTGAGAGACAGCTTAGATGACTCAGAGGAGCCTAAAGAAGCCTTTTAGAAAAATAAAAAGAGTAATGGTGGGTCAATTAATCATTCTTTACAGAAATTTTACATTTAATGCCACAAAATATGCAATAAAATGCAGTGAAGTGACACCGGCTTGTTTTACAGTTTACAAGGTTACAGATTTATTAGTTGTGGGTAACATAAGTGGGTATAAAAAAAAGCATGAGCAGACAGAGTGAATCTTTTAGAAATGCACAAACATACGCAATTCTGAAACTGAGATTTTTAAAGGTAAACAGTGACTAGAGTTAATCAAACATCTGGCCCCCTCTGCCCCCGAGGATGGAAAATAGTTCAATCAAAACCTGAGTTACAGAGTAGAGAGGCCAGCTTGATGCCTAGATTGAAATCTTTCATCCAAGCCACCAACTTTTGCTCCTATCCAGTTGTCTCTTACAGGAAAAGGCCTTATTCATGACAGCAATACAATGCCAAAGCACAGTCTGCACACATTACAGCAGCATGTCTCCCCAGTAAAAGAGTCCATGCTAAACTATCCAGTCAGCAGTCCACATATGTATTATGAAGCAAAAACTAACACAGAGGAACCTGTTAAGGAGTTCATTTAAAAAAGTAAAGCATTTAATCTCCTCAGTTGTTTTCTATTTGCAGTTATTAAAAGAGGTGATGATAAGTAGCATTAATTATGCCTAGTGCAAGCTTTGTTTTTTTGTCAGGTTTCAACATTTGATATATTAATTTTGTTCAGTTTTTTAAGTTATAAGTTAAATCATTTGAAAATCATTGAATTTTTCTTTTTTTTTACATTTTACAAAGTATCCTAAATCAGAACTGCTGTTTACTAGATAATTTCTCTTTTTTGGTCCATAAATATAGAAGAAGTATTACGAAGCCATTTCTAAGGCTCTGGGACTCCAGTGAACCATAGTGAGAACCTTTATCCACAAAGGGAAAAAACTTGGAACAGTGATGAACCTTCCCGGGAGTCGCCGGCCTACCAAGAAAAGCATCAACGACTCATCCAGGAGGTCACAAAAGAACCCAAAAACCTGCAGGATTCACTTCTCCATGTTAGGGTCGGGATTCATGATTCAACAATAAGACAACAATAAGAGACCAGGCAGAAATGGCATCAATGGGAGAGCTTCAAGCAGAAAACTGCTGCTGACCAAAAGGAACACAAAGGCTCGTCTCACATTTGGCAAAAAACATCTTGATGAACCACAAGACTTTTGGGAGAATCTGGACTGATCTGGAAAGTTTGAATCCTGTTACATCAGGCGTAAAACTAACACTTTCATAAAAGAACATCATACCAACGATGTGATGGTCGGGGCTGCTTAAGAACCTGGACGACTTGTTGTAACTGACGGAACCATACTTTCTGCTTTCTACCAGAAAACCTGAAAGGTCATGCATGCTTGAGTTATGCAGCAGGACAATGATCTGAAACACTCTACCGTTCACCCTCCAATGTGGCTGAATTACAACAATTCTGCAAAAAAAGAATAGTCCAAAATTCCTCCACAGTGATGTGGAGGAATGTGTGGATATACAGTGGGGCAAAAAAGTATTTAGTCAGCCACCGATTGTGCAAGTTCCCCCACCTAAAATGATGACAGAGGTCAGTAATTTGCACCAGAGGTACACTTCAACTGTGAGAGACAGAATGTGAAAAAAAAAATCCATGAATCCACATGGTAGGATTTGTAAAGAATTTATTCGTAAATCAGGGTGGAAAATAAGTATTTGGTCAATAACAAAAATACAACTCAATACTTTGTAACATAACCTTTGTTGGCAATAACAGAGGTCAAACATTTACTATAGGTCTTTACCAGGTTTGCACACACAGTAGCTGGTATTTTGGCCCATTCCTCCATGCAGATCTTCTCGAGAGCAGTGATGTTTTGGGGCTGTCGCCGAGCAACACGGACTTTCAACTCCCGCCACAGATTTTCTATGGGGTTGAGGTCTGGAGACTGGCTAGGCCACTCCAGGACTTTCAAATGCTTCTTACGGAGCCACTCCTTTGTTGCCCGGGCGGTGTGTTTTGGATCATTGTCATGTTGGAAGACCCAGCCTCGTTTCATCTTCAAAGTTCTCACTGATGGAAGGAGGTTTTGGCTCAAAATCTCACGATACATGGCCCCATTCATTCTGTCCTTAACACGGATCAGTCGTCCTGTCCCCTTGGCAGAAAAACAGCCCCATAGCATGATGTTTCCACCCCCATGCTTCACAGTAGGTATGGTGTTCTTGGGATGCAACTCAGTATTCTTCTTCCTCCAAACACGACGAGTTGAGTTTATACCAAAAAGTTCTACTTTGGTTTCATCTGACCACATGACATTCTCCCAATCCTCTGCTGTATCATCCATGTGCTCTCTGGCAAACTTCAGACGGGCCTGGACATGCACTGGCTTCAGCAGCGGAACACGTCTGGCACTGCGGGATTTGATTCCCTGCCGTTGTAGTGTGTTACTGATGGTGACCTTTGTTACTTTGGTCCCAGCTCTCTGCAGGTCATTCACCAGGTCCCCCCGTGTGGTTCTGGGATCTTTGCTCACCGTTCTCATGATCATTTTGACCCCACGGGATGAGATCTTGCGTGGAGCCCCAGATCGAGGGAGATTATCAGTGGTCTTGTATGTCTTCCATTTTCTGATGATTGCTCCCACAGTTGATTTTTTCACACCAAGCTGCTTGCCTATTGTAGATTCACTCTTCCCAGTCTGGTGCAGGTCTACAATACTTTTCCTGGTGTCCTTCGAAAGCTCTTTGGTCTTGGCCATGGCGGAGTTTGGAGTCTGACTGTTTGAGGCTGTGGACAGGTGTCTTTTATACAGATGATGAGTTCAAACAGGTGCCATTCATACAGGTAACGAGTGGGGGACAGAAAAGCTTCTTACAGAAGACGTTACAGGTCTGTGAGAGCCAGAGATTTTCCTTGTTTGAGGTGACCAAATACTTATTTTCCACCCTAATTTACGAATAAATTCTTTACAAATCCTACCATGTGAATTCATGGATTTTTTTTTCACATTCTGTCTCTCACAGTTGAAGTGTACCTCTGGTGCAAATTACTGACCTCTGTCATCATTTTAGGTGGGGGAACTTGCACAATCGGTGGCTGACTAAATACTTTTTTGCCCCACTGTAAGTAGTAAGTAAGTAACATTTATTTAACTCTCCTCTGCAGCTGTGCACTGTCATTACTCTGGCAGCTTCACTTTATATCCTACTTTATTTATATAGCACCTTTCGAGACAAACAAAGTGCTTCACGAAGAAACACCAGAGCATTTCAAACAAAAACAAACAAAAAGTTAACCAAACACAATTCCATTGCATGGATCTTAATAAAGGAAATCATCACCTTAAAACTGCATTTTGTATTTAGTCAGGCTATTTTTGATCTAAGATTAACATTAGTTTAATGATCTGAAACATTTGAGCGTGACATATATACAAAACCTAAGAAATCAAGAAGGGGGCAAATACATTAAACACTAAGTGTAGTAAATCTCATGGTTTCCCTGTACAGTGTAAAGACCAGATGAGTAGAAGTTGATGGTAATTTAAAAACTGTTCATGAGTATTTTATTTAAGCCTCATATACAAAAATATTTACTGTATAATTTAACAGTTTTCATTGAATGTAGCTACACTTTAAATTACATGTGAAGGCAAATGTGTCACTTTTAAACTGAAAATAATGCAGCATTGGTCATTAGGCACACGTGCACTCAGTGAATGATTTTCATGCCCAGAATCTGATTGTTTACATAAATAACTTTTGTGTTTGCGCAAAGCAGAAAGCAGGCTCATCCTGCATGTCACACAGCAAACAAGAGGCTTGTATTTGCAGAAAAAGTACCTAGTACATAGCAATAGGTCAACGATCTCAG